CCTAAACCCTGAAGCCCTACATCCCTCTAAACCTATACAAGGCCGCAGATCCTCGTCGCGGAGGTTGACCTTGTCATCTCCGCCCTTGTTCCGGGAAGGTTTCGGGCTTTAGGGCTTTAGGGGTTTGGGTTTTGGGTTTTGGGTTTAGGGTCTTCGGTTTGGGGTTTAGGGTTTAGGGTTTATGGTTGAGGGCCTAGGGTTTCAGGTGTACCTCGGCGCCCTGAAGTTCACCGACTCGACCTCTCCGCAGGCTAGGACAGCCTGCCTCCAATCCACGACCCAATCTTATGGCGAATCCGGGGTTTGCAATACATGAGGATTCTCTCATGCCTTGCAAATCCAAAATTCGCCATAAGATTGCGTCGTGGACTGGACGCGGGGAGGCTGTCCAACAGCTCCACAGCACTACGATTGATGATGTAAATCCTGCATTACCTCAACGACCCCAAACTATGGGAATTATGGTATAGTCTTTACTATGAGTAATGCAGGGTTTATGTCATCAACCAGGTTGCAAAGTATTCGGCCTTCGAGTGGTCAGGACGAAAGTATCCGGATGCAATGTCTCGTAGGACAGCGTCACACTGCCTCACTGCCGGCGTGGTCAACTCAACCGAATGCACTGCCTGGGTAGCTGCTGTACGGTTGATGATACAAATCCTGCCTTACCCCGTAATAAGGAATATACCATAATTCCCATAGTTTCGGGTCCTTAAGGTAATGCAGGATTATATGGGTCGTTGTCAAAATTATGGTCCCTGTTGGGGTATCCTAAATAATAGGTGCCGTATTATCATAAGGACCCAAAAAGGGACTATAATTTTGACAACCACCCATATCATCAACAGTAGTTCTGTAGCTCAGGTGTCACGCTTCTATGGGCTTCGCTGAGTCCATGCTCGCTGGAAGCCTGACCAGTCGCTGCTTTGGTAACAGAGCCGAGTCATGTAGGGGCCTTCATCATTAGAATCGAGTTTTGGGATATATTGTACTATAGTTATAATAAGGAACCCCCAGAATAGTTTTAGTAATTGTTCAGGCCCCTACATTACATCCCTCATAGAGGCCGTAGTCGAGTTTTGGGATTCATTGTACCACATTTATACTAAGGAACCCCCAAAATAGTGTGGGTACTTGCTCAGGCCCCCTGAAGGCCGTGACCTCCGAGGCGGCCCGAACCTCTGGCAGAACACGTCCCCATCAGAGAGCAGAGGTCTCAGCCGCGTGAGTTTAGGGTTTAGGGTTTGCTGTACCACGTCGGCAGACGCTTTGATGGCTTCGTCGGCCCACCAAGGTGGGGGCCTTAGATCAAAAAATGAAGGAACCCGAACCCCCGCGGTCAAGGTCTACCTGTGGCCCAAGAAGCCAACCTTTTCCAGGAACCATATAAAGAAACCATCATAAGGAACCCTAA